TGGAGTACACAACCTAAGTAGATAATTCAGCACAGCACAGAGGGAGGATGGCATTGTTGCAAGAGCTGGTGCTGTGCCGAAGTTTTAATATCAAGGCACTGTTTTCCCTCTTGGATGGATGTAGTTATCCCATTACACAATGTGAAGAGCTTAAAGAGTTCAGGATGGAGAGTTGTAATGCTTGAAGATCATTTGTATATCAATAATTTGGCTGTCACCTCTGCATCAGACGGTTGAGTATTCAAGCCCCACTTCAGAGATTTCAGAGCATAAACCAAGCTGATACCTGAGGCAGCCACACCTGAGTTCAAGATGAGACATTCGATCTAAGTCCTGGCTGCTTATTCAAGTAAACATCAAAAGACCACAGACAAAATCTGAAGGTCAGCATGTTTTCCTGACATTCTGTCAAACATTCACCTTCCGGTAGGATTTTCATCTTGTTAGCACAGTTCCATCTTTACCAACCCAAAACCATCAACTGTTCCTATTCTCAACATATTTCCATATTCAACAAATGTGGGCAGTCAAAGTTTGTATCTGCTGCCTCTCTGGGTTGGCCAGTGATGGAGATTTGCAGATGCAATCTGACTAGAAGGCCTGCATTAGTGCTCATGACATGGCGATAGTCTCCACATGGTTCTTATGCCTGTTAACACTTAGCACCGCGCAACTCCCACCCCACAGCCTGATGCACCTTCAAATGCAGTCCGCCCTGTTCCATGCACCCCAATGACTCCTTGTATATCCATGCTCTCTCATACCACCCATGTCTCACCATTCTGCCCACGTATCATCTACAGCCACTCACCCACTAACCACTGTGTACAGATCCCAGGAGCTTTGTGATAACAATGGAAAGGCTTGGAAGTGGACTTTAAACAAAAACTCTTGGAATCTAATACAAACAGTAAATCAAACACAACCATTCAAACTGCACACAAAATGCTCCAGTTTCACTAAATATTTAAATCCAATTAAGTTGTGAAAACAAATAAAATTCCAAAATCACACCAAATGTATATGAATTCATAACTTTTTAAAGCTGGGAATGAAACCACACAGTCAGTCTGCTGAACAGCTGTGTAAACAACCATTCGCTGAACTAAATGTTTCATTAGGTTTTGTAACTCATGCAAGCATTCATAATGGGCTCAGGTGCCAAAACAAACCACTACAGTTCCAGACAATAGTGCATACTGAAACTGAAGGAAATGTTGTTTCCCAATTCAGAGTAGATGGTCTGTCATTCAATAGGAAACTGCATATGACTAGGTTTATTTTTCTAAGCTTATGTATCAGGTCATTTTTTTCCTGCGTTAAAACATGTTGAACATTAAAATTCACGTTTGATCAGACAGGAGGGTTTCAAATAACTGTTTTCTACAATTTTAATGCATAATAAGAATTTGTCCAATGGAAAAAGTATTCTAAAGCATCTCAAAACGTGCACAATATTGGTCAATATAATAGTCAACTTCCCTTCTCTAGGATAGAAGTTTATAATCAATCATTGCAGTTAAAATATCCTTAACTTATATGATGGGATCTAATAATGAAATTTGAATTTCTGAAAACATTTTACACTTACTTGTCAAAATGTCCCCAATGCCTGAACATGGTTGGTTTCCAAACTCTCTTACCTGGTGGATTTCCTAAGGCTTCTAAAACCTGCCTGAACCAACAAAAACATCATGGGAGATTAGGTAAAAATTCATCATAGATCTGTGATTGGTGACCACAACATCACAGTATGTGGAGACATAAACCTAACTCAAATCTTTTCTCAGCTTCGGGAAGTTTGTATGCATCTCTCTATGAGGAAAAATTCAAATTTATGAACTTACAGCCTCAATTTTGCCAATCCCACACCCAACCCCCAATTTTCTGAGGACACAAAACTCTGCTCACTGGTGTGCTTGCCAGTATGTACCTTATTTAAAAAAAAGGTATTTGATAATTGACCACTATTTTTCTTACATTACAACTACTGCTACATTTCAAAAGATTTTCATTAATTTTAAAAGTACAAAGACATGTCCTCAGGTCACAAAACCAACTTTTATGTTTTTTAATAGCTTATTGTGGCTACTTTGTTCTCTTGCAAACAAGGCCTATTCATTCATGAACTTATTGCATATGATTTCAGGGATAACAAGGTGTAGAACTGGATGAACACAGCAGGCCAAGCAGCATCAGAGGAGCAGGAAGGCTGACGTTTTGGGCCTAGACCCTTCTTCAGAAATTTCTGAAGAAGGGT